TAATGATCCAGAAAATAATATATTACAAAATAAATGCCTTAAATATGAATTCTATAATAATAAAATTACCCAATTACCAACTGAGCAGATACAAAGTACGATTCTCTTTCTTGATTTAGTAAAACAAGAACTGATGGGAAGCGGGCACAGAATTGACTAAACCCAGCCTTATAAAGAAGCACAATTGCTAAATAACATGAGGCCAAGCAATACTACTCAGCCAATCAGAGAAAACATTGTAATGTTTCTATGGTAGTTCTGCCAGAAATTATATGGACTTTGACAGATTATCATATCAACAATAAAGGGCTATACAGGTAATCCATGGTTAAAGCAACTCATTCACTGACTGTTCAAAATTACAATGTCAGCACCCACCAGTCCAGCCACACTCAATAGTCTCATCCACCTGCCGGCCTGCTTGTAAGGCAAAACTTATTGGGCCTGGGACTTGAAAATTCCTGCCAGCTTTCCCACTGATTTTGCTAGTTGGAAGTCAAAAGACAGTCACATATCATGATCAATGAGGTCCTCGCTCAACATCACACAATCCTCATTTAACAACAGTAAACCAGGATTAACATCACTTAGAGATGCAGTCACAATGTCATGCTTTATGACCACAATAAAGCTTAGTAACCAAAATTCAGGCCCCAATAACCATCATTGTGGACTACCTATAAGAATACACTTACTGATTATAAACTTTCTGACAATGAAAAGTATTCAAAATATGAATAGATTTCATTTTCAGCTGGATATAAGAAAACAAATTTCCTGCTTTTCTAAGAGTGAGGATAGTGCCTTCCCCTCTTGAATAAGCAATCTTATAAAAGAGAAATTTGATTTGAATTTGCTTGATCTAATTATTCTTTGCAAAATTATATTTATTATAATTTTAGGTTGCCAGAAAAGAGTGGCTCTTCATTTTCTTTATAATGAAGTTTCAATCAAAAACAAATCATAACCAATGAGAAACTAATTATCCATCTAGAAAATAAATCTGTATTATGTATTTTCTTTATATTGGAATGGACTTAAATCAGGCAGAAACATCAAAATCCGTCTGTAAACATACGATTTAGTTAACTATCATTTACATAAAATTATGTATCTGTCTCTTTCACATCAAAACTTTGCTTCGATATACTAGAATAATACTGTATATGTGTTCTATGGTGAGATCACAATTCTATAAATCATTTACTTTTTAAACTGAAATTCGAAGAGTCAATTTATCCTCAAGTTTTGTACGAGATATACCAGGGGTGGGGAACTACGATCTGTAAACTTCAATTCCCAGAATTCCCAAGCCAGCCATGCAGAAAACATAAACATAGTTAATTTTAAAAAATTAAGATCAATATTATACAAGAAGAAAAAGCTTGAAAAGGAACAAAAACATACAGGACAAATGTTCACAGATGTTTAGCTCTTGAAAAGGACCAAGTAATGTACTGACACAGAATATGCATACTGAACCGAAGGTCAGGAAAGAAGAAAGACCTGCACCATTTACTTCCTGATTTAGTATCTCTGTTGTCAGGTTAGATTCTAACAGCTTCCTTAAAAAGCTGATATAGGATGACATAAAGACTATCTTGTGAATCCACAAACCGAAAAGTAGAATAACTTCATTGTACCATTTGCATGTTAAGTAGCATAAGAAGAAGTACGATTTCTTCAGAAGAGACCCACACTGTATTATCTATTTGCTAACATGTGGAAACTGTCACAAAGACCGCTATTTTAGTAACTTTCTGCTTTCTGTTTCCAAAATACCTTAGAATAAGGCTCACATCTGGTAAAACAGATACATTTGTTGAATTTTAAGAATATGAAATTTGGGCTATCTGACATTTGGGGGTACATTATTTCTAACTATCAGGAAAAAAATAATTAGGAACAACTTGCCTCTAGAAGTTGTGAATGCTCCAACACTAGAAGTTTTTTAACCTCTGTCTGAAGTGGTGTAGGGTTTCCTGCCTAGGCAGGGGGTTGGACTAGAAGACCTCCAAGGTCTATTCTATTCTATTCTATTCTATTCTATTCTATTCTATTCTATTCTATTCTAAATTCTTTTCTTATTCTATTATGAGAATAAGTGCCTATTATTTTATGCTTGTTTATAGTCCAGAGATGCTGTTTGGAAGTAAAGGACAATATCCCAACTGTAGAATTTTGGACATCTGCTGTGTTTCACAAAATACACCCCTCCCAGATAAAAACCCTTAGCATCCAAGGATGTAAATAATACCGTCTGTTGCAAAATCAGCTCAGAACTTTTTTTTACTTTTAAGTGGCAGTAAACTGAAGATTGTTGGATGAAATCCAGTAATGAACTATTCATGTGGTACGTGCTTCAAAGGAAGCCTTTCTGTTGGCTTCACTCTTGAATTTGGCCAGAAGAAATTTATGAGAGCAAATTATGTAAGTAGTGAGAAATACATTCCCAAGTTATGTATACCCCGATTTGAACAATTCTAGTTCGGAAGCATGGTCAAAATAATCAGACCCGATTTGATTCCAGAGCAAACCTGCACACTTCAAATACCACAACCTATAGAAATAACGGATGGGCATTTTCCCCCCCTTATGCAAATGAAGGCAGCAGTACTTTAACTCACTTAAGAATGGAGAGAAAAACTGGCAAAAAAACCCCTGTTTAATTAAACGGGGATTTTTGTAAACTTGTCTGTTTCCTCCTCACTGCAGCCGGAACATTTTTAAACTCCACAGTGAAGAGATTAAGCACGTGAATCTGTGTGACTTGTGATTATTATTTATTTATTTATTTATTGGGGGGGGAGTTACCCTTAAGTTACCCTCAAACTTTAGATAAATTTATTGTCATTGTACTCAGAAACCTGAGAACAACGAAATAAGGTACTCTTCCACAACATACAACTGAACAACACCAAAAGACATATACAAATAACAATGTAAATTAAAACAAATAACAGTTAAAAACTGTACAACCAGGATATATGTATGTTAAGACCACCAGATTCATAACTCTGCATTTAACCTGATCACAGCACTTGGGTAAAAGCTATGTTTAAGTTAACTTAAACTGTTTAACTTAAGTTGCGTGCAAGATGATTTCAGGCTCTGTAGTCTCCCTAATCCTATCTTCTCTTGAAAGGGGAGCCTAAGGAGAACAAGAGCAGGTCACTGGCTCCTCCCTATCAATCCTTCGCCTGAAAGATAAGCAAGACAGAATTCTGGCAGGCCAAGCCTTAATCTATTGTTTCCCAGCTGCTGACTGGGATCATGTGCTAGCAAAGAAGTATATTCACCAACTCTGCTCTGACACAAGGACAGCAAAGGTGGCAGACCGTGAGTCTACTTGGAAGACAGAACATGCCCTGGGTCAGGCCTTGCCTTGCTGCTGGCCTCTCTTCCAACCATTCTTTTTATTATCCCTTCTTTTATCAATCTTTCCCTCGTTTCAAATTGTCTCATTCTGTCCTTAAGGCTGTGGAAAAAGGAGGCACAGCATATGCAAATGCAACACCCTCACCTCTGCAAATGCAACACCCTCACCAAAGGCTTCTCAGGGGTCCCCAAAACTTGGCAACATTTATAGACTTCAATTCCCAGAATTCTCCAGTCAGCTCCGCTGGCTAGAGAATTCTGGGAGTTGAAGTCCACAAGTCTTAAAGTTGCCGAGTTTGGGGACCTCTGGCTTATGTCATGGTTCTGAGCAGTGAGCCCAATTGAATCAGGGCTCGGAAGCTCCATTCAGGCTTGGAAGGCCTTTTTATTGAGTATATCCTACTTGAAGCTAGCTCTGGGTAATTCCCACGCTTCAGAGTAAAAAAGAGAAGAGAAACGTCCCACCCCACAACCCCCAGGTATCATGGGTCACGTTAACCAAAAAGTCCAGCAGGATCTTCCCCTTATTCAGATGTTCGTTGTGGCGCTGCGCCTGATGGATATTTTGTCTAGTGCAGGGGTCACCAACCTTTTGGACCTCAGGGACCACCAAGCTCATAATTTTAAATCCCAGGGACCAGAGACCCTGGGAAAATCCCCAAAAAAGTCTGCAGGAAAATCCCCCCCCCACCCTGTTTTCCTACCGATGGATCATTCTTTATTTGGGATTGCAGGGAGGGAGGGAGGGAGGGAGACAGAGACAGAGAGAGACTTTTGGCTTCATGCAAGGAAAGCAACAGAAGCAGAAGTCTTTCTTTCTCTCCCCCAAACTACACCAGAAGCGAGTCTTTGTGAGGCCTGTCGCGCCAGCGCAGCCTCTTGGAGCAAGATGCCTTGCAGGGTCCCAAAGACTCATTTCTGCAGAGTTTGGGGGAGAGAAAGAAAGACTTTTGCTGCCTTCCTTGTGTGCAGCCAAAAGCAGAAGAAGAAAGAAGTGGAAAGAGGCAGCTCGGTGGTCAGGTCAGGCGCATCGGGCGAGTGGGGCAAGTTCCCCCCCTCCGCCCTTTCCCCCCTCCCCTCACTACCTCATGCTGTTCGCAATGTAAGTGATGCAAGCCTTGTGTTCCCACACAGCCTGGATTAATTGCTTTGGGGGGTTTTCTTGCAGGCCACCAGTGGTCCCTGGACCACTGGTTGGTGACCACTGGTCTAGTGGGATCAGGCACTGCATTCTAGTTCTTTCTAGCTCCCCCCCCTCCAAAGAGTGGCAACTAAGAAACGAAGCAAAAATAAATATAGCATCGGCTGTGGTCATTTCGAAGTTGACAGCTTACCCAAGCACACCCTGAAAAATCATTCCCACCCAGACTCAATACTATAAACACCTATAATGATATTCTGAGGAAAGTCCACCTCATGAAATGTTTTTTTTTTTTTTTTATAAATAGAAAATGCAAGATTCAAAATTAGTGAGAAGGGAGATGCCTGAAATTGCGGGCATTATGAGGACCTATGCAATTGCTTTGGAACCATCTGAAACCAGCTAACTGAAGCTCTGCTACAACCCTCCATGATTTGTTTTCCCAATACCTCCTTCCTCTTCCTTCCCCTCAACCACTTACTTCCTTCGGAACATCTCTGCAAAGATACACCCCACACTCCATAAGTCCACAGGAGTAGCGTAGGTTGACTGGAGCAGCACTTCGGGAGCACGATACCAGAGGGTGACCACCTAGACGAGAGGAGAACACGAGAAGCATGAAGATGGAAAAAAGCCCACAGAGGAAGACTCAAGCTCCATGCTGGAGGTGAGGCTAAGTTCCCTAAGAAAACATCCTGCCTATTTCCTGGGCTTCCATCCGTCACAGTTCCTACTCAGCCCAAACTACCCACTTCCCCCATTCCTACCAGGGCATCTAAGCATCTGTTTTGGTTTGGAAATGATATTGTTAATATTGAAGGTAGATCTGCAGAGGCACCAGGCTACTTTCCGTTACACCTACCAAGACCACAGAGATTAAGGAATACCCCAGGGATGTCAAACTCGATTTCACTGAGGGTCACATCGAGGTTGAGTTTGACCTTGGGGGAGCAGGGGGGGGAGGGTAGCTGGGGTGGGCATGGCCAAGTGCTAAGACAGGACTTTCCTCTCATAAAAATCTTCCTCCTTCCCTCTTTTTCCTTCCCTCTCTTCCTTCTCCTTTCTTCTTTCCTTACTTTTGCTTCCTTGCTCTTTTCCCATCTTCCCATCTTTTCCTTTCTTTCCTCTTTCCCTTTCCCCTTTCCTGTCCCTTCTTGCTCAAATACTCAAATGCAAAAGGGGAAACATTTCTCCTTTTTTGTTTTGTTTTGAGTTTGCTTTGCTAGCCCTCTGCCGCGAAAACGGATCGGGGGGGGAGGGGGGGCATACGGTCCTCCTGAGCTCTGTTTTCGCTGGCAGAGGCCCCACAAACCGGTCCTTTTCTGTTTCCAGGGCAGCCCCACGGGGCCAGATCGAAGCACCCCAAGGGCCGGGGGAATCAGCCTGCAGGCCTTGAGGTTGTCAACCCTGGAATACTCCTTTTCCCACTATCAACAGTAAAAAAAAAACAGCAACAAAGCAGGCCCTTCCTATTAGCTGCAAAGATATCTAAAGGTAGAAACAGTCACCAGGTGTTATAACCTAGCAGCCCCCAACCTTTTGGACGCCGGGGATTGGTTCTATGGAGGGCATTTTTCTGGGATCGGGGGCGTGGTTTCACACGCTACCTGGATTCCACACACGTGCAGATGGGCTTTCGCTCGCTCACGCAGCCCAATTCCTGGTGGTCCACGTACCAGTGGCAGTCCACAGTCCGAGAGTTAGGGACCCCTATTATAACGTAACAGTTTGGAATTCTAGTAGCTGGAAGCCTACAATATTGGGATATAATTAGCTGATTTATTCCCGTCGTCGTGGATCTCCCAACTTAGCTATGGTACTTTAGCGGGAACAGACCTTTTTCTTTTCCATAAGATCTGGACAGCACTCACCAATGGTGTCAGGGCCATCTGGCAGCTGTAGATACGGGCCAGTCCAAAGTCAGCCAACTTGACTTGCCCAGAGCTGGTCACCAGGATATTCTCTGGCTTAAGGTCACGGTGAACAATGCAATTCGAATGTAAGAAATCCAAACCACTCAAAAACTGACGCATCATGTCCTGGAGGTGAGAGGTGGAAGAACATGTGACATCGACATCTCTGCTTAGGTTTCCTTGTATTTCTTACCAATCTGATGGTCAGCCCAGAACAGAGTACTGGATATCAATCTAAGGCTGGTTTACCTTTATTACTTCTGCGGGTAAGCCAGGAGGCGGTGTTTTTTCCAAAAAGGCTTTCAGGTCCTGATCTACATGCTCAAAAACCAGAGTCACTTTGGTTTCTCGTTCAGTCCGGGTGGTTGTGCACACATCCATTAGTCTAAAGAGGAATGAAAGAAGAGACACTCAGCAAATGTTCCACAACGGCCGAGGAAGATGGAGACTGGTGAAACGAAAGAGAAAGTCTTAAATCAAACGGATCCTTAAATAGAATTTAGCTGATCCTGAATCACATCCAGGCCCATCGAATGTCCCGAATAATGGGCAGATGGGCTTTTGCTTGCTCACGCAGAAAACTTACAGCTTGCAAGAAGTAAGATAGGTCTTTAAATAATGGATTTAATTTATCAGGCTCTTAAGGGTTCATACCGTCTGGCCCATCCATATGCTTTTTTCTTTGTCTCGCAAGCCTACCAAGATATTTCTATTCCAGTCTCAAGATCCTCCTATAAAAATTCTACTGATATACCCCTTCCCCCAATCTCTCTTCACTCTCATCCCATGTTTATCTCCCGTTCTAATTCTTTCAGTTCACCCAGTTTCTGCTGTGAGTCATCCTTAAGACAAATACTGACCACGTTGTAAATTATCAATAGAGCCAGGGCCTCCGCTCTGCCTTTGTCAACACAATAACAGAGAGCCAAGTGTGTGTGTGTGTGGTGGGGGGGCAGGGGGGGAGTCTCTGAGCCCACCAGATTCTCCTAGACCCAATTTGTGATCTGATTTGCTAAGAGTGATCCTTTATAATCAGCCGTCTTCTCTAATCTGGCTCTCCACATACATTAGATCTGAAACTTCAACTGGTCTCTTTCTGTTGCCCAGATACTGCACTGTAAAGACTAGGCTGCACTTTCAGTGAAAGATCTAACCAATATAGCCTATGCCCTTAATTGGCCTGCTCCACACAACAAAGGCAGATGAAAGTGCCCATTGTTATTGGAGCATGGAAGAAAGAATTGAGAAGACCAAATAAGTCAAGAACTATATAATCAGAGACAAATTATTCTAAAATAGTTCTCACAAATTTAGATCACCTGCTGTACAGTCATAATCTGATTGTTTCGGTTTAGGCTCAGTGTGAGACAGAAATCCAATTAACATGGCTTGCAAACCACGAGTTAAAGTTTAGCATAATTTATAAACCTAAACAAATTGTGGTTTATTCGATAAATCAGTTCAACAAGCCAGGCCTTAGTTGGCTACCATCCAAACTCCCATATATATTTGTAGTGTTAATTACAGCATATACTTGAAGAGGGCTACTACCTTCTCCACAAGTAGTTACGGCAGTTATCAATATGCTCAGTCTTCTTTCAGATTGTGATTATCCTAACCGAGCTAGGAAGTGCAACAGCATTGTGCTCTAGATAGACGGCTAAAAGGCCAACCCATACTTATCACACTACAGCTTAGTCACACATAGATTTTCCTTCCTGTTTAAGACTGTACGATCCCATTCTTCAAATCATCTTTCTCCAGGAACAATTTTCTTCTGTGTATACAATGGCCACGCTGACCAAAGATTGTTAAAGTTGTAGTTCTACCTACTACAATTCCACTTAGACTACCAGTGTTCAGGTCTAATCCAATTCACTTAAAAGAGGCACACTGAATTTGGAAATTTGCTATAATTGAAGAACAGCTCCACTTCCTAATTCTCAAACATTACCAACTAAACCCAAGCAGCAATAAAGCAGACCGCTGAATAAATTTGCACTGAATCTCACATACTCCTTCTATTCAGCCCTTGATATGAACCAAGTCTGATCCTGTCTTCACCCCCAAGACTCAAGTCTATAATCTCACACACAGAGAACAAAAGGCCATTGAAGAAAAGCTTTCCAGTGAATTACACTTTATCTAGAAAAATAAATGGTTTCTGGTCCCCCTGTTAGTATTAATTTACTTAAATGGTTAACATCAACTTCTGTTCTTTTGTGTACATGGAAACATTAACTGAACTGTCCAAAGAATGGGGTTTATGGCTGTATTATACCATTTAAAGCCTACTACACACACATGCACATATTCTATATATGTGTGTTTATATGTGTATATGTATAGCAATAGCGCTTAGATTTATATACCACTTCATAGTGCTTTACAGCCCTTTCTAAGTCGTTTACAGAGTCATCATATTGCCCCCAACATTCTGGGTCCTCATTTTACCAACCTTGGAAGGATGAGTCAACCTTGAGCTGGTCAGGATCGAACTCTTGGCAGTGGGCAGAGTTAGCCTGAAATAATGCATTCTAACAACTGCGCCACCACGGCTCATGTTGACTTGATGGCACATATGGGTTGAGAATTATTCATCATCAGATGAACTTTACAAAAGCATATGCCACAGTAATACATTTGTACTATTTGTATTTGCAAAATAATTACTATTATCTCTGCAAAGATACAAAATGTGCAATTCAGGCCAAATCTTTACTACAATTAACTCTCAAAGGCTGCAGTTCCAGGTCTCCAGTCCTGCACCAGCTGCAAATCTACCAACCCCAAAACCCAGTGGTGGGCTGCTGCCTGGTCAGACCAGTTTGGGCAAACCCGTAGCTATGATCACTGGCTGGGCCTGTCCACCAGCCCCTGTGCTATGCTCTCCCTATATAACTAACTTTCTAGCTTGTTTCCCCCATCCATGCTGCCCAGCTATGTTCTACGCGGCGCCTACTGTACATGCTCACAAACAGCGAACCAGTTGTTATCATAAGGTGCAGCCCACCTCTACCTAAACCCCATCCCTGGAAGGCTTGTAGTTACAGATGAGGCTCTCACCGCACGATGTTGGGGTGGTCAAGGTGCTCCAAACGTTTCAGCAGGGCCACCTCTCGGACTGTTGACAGAGGGAGTCCATTCTCACTGTTCTGTACTCGTACATTCTTGAGAGCCACAAATTTGCCACTCTGCAAGTCCCGGGCCTTGAAGACAGTGCCATAAGCTCCAATACCAATTTCAGCCACAGGTTCATATTGTTCCTGCACGCCCATGGCCATCCTGGCAATCCCTTGCTGGAATCGCTGAAGTTCTAAAAGAGTGAGGAAGAGGAGTAAGGCTACATCTAGTCTATCTCTTCTCATAGCAAGCTCGAGTATCCCGTGGACAATCCTTTTGGTTTTAAACGAAGCAATTTATTCCTCCTATGTCAGTGTTTTTCAACCTCAGCAATTTTAAGATGTATGGCCTTCAACTCCCAGAATCCTGAGCTGGCTGGGGAATTCTGGGAGCTAATGTAGACACATTTTAAAGTTGCCGAGGTCAGCAAACATTTCCCAAGGTTCCATCCACACAGCACCTCCATTCCTATCTGCCTGACAGTTTCTTTCTGCACCTCACCTGACTGTACGCCTCCAAGGGAGGATCCTGATTATTTTGATAATGAAATGGATTCGGAACTCTTTCCATCTGCATTCAAGCCGGTAGTGGATCTGTTTCAGCAGACAGTGCTAGCAGATTGAGATATAATAAGATGTAAATAATTGTTGGTGCTTTTAATATTGAAACAGAAGAGGGAATTTTAGCAGGTGCTGCTTTTCTCAATCTTGAATGAAAACTGGCACTTTGGGGAACTCCACCTTCTAACAGCACTTCTAGGGATATAATCAATGGAAGGAGGAAGACATAAATCGGGAACCTGAGAGCATTCACTTGGCTTCCCACATAGGCCCAGATGATACATGGATATAGAAACTTTCCAGTCCTTTTATTTGCAATGACACAACTGGGGTGCATTCCACCAAATATTACTATTTTGAGCGAACCAAGTTGTCATAAGTGTGTGCTTTCAACATGTTCACTTGGCAACAGGGGAGAAAGGAAAAACCCTAAACTTTATACACCTTCAGTAAAGTGGGCTACACAGATACTAAGTGAGCATAAAGAGGGCAGTAACGCTTTCTGTATATACATAAAACTATATATGTATAGATCATACTCAGCACTTATTCTGAAAGGTTATTGAAGGCATGTTAAGCTTAGCTACGTTTCTCCAATTCCCCCTTGTCCTCCTCCTCCTCACCAGGTCCTGAGCAGGTACATTCATGTTGTCTGAAAAGAGCAGCTGTATCATAATTATAACTGGAGGAGGAGGAGGAAGCTGGCCTTTCCTCACATTCTAATAAAGGGGTAAAAAGAGATAATATTACACGGGCATAATTTTAGGCTCTGAAATTATATGTAACTTGTTCAATTCTACCCAAATCAAGTCCTCCTTTGTCCCACGGAGGTATAAAGTAAGGTAATAAAATCACGTTTACCTTGTCTTTTCAAGCTGCCAATTTTTTTTTTGCTAGCTATCATCATTTTTGCCCACAAATTCTCCAAACCGGCCATTTCTCTCTGGGCCACGGATGGCGTTTTTTAATACTCCTATCAATCGCAAACCATCTCCACGTGCCCGTCCCCAAACAGCGTTTAAAAAAAGAAAAAAACCTTTTCCCACAGCAAAGTTGCTGCTCCTGCAGCAAACGAGGCGCCCAGGCCCAACATAGTTCGGCTTCCTTAAAGGAAAAGAAGAAAAAAAGTGGGGGGAGGGTTGGCTTATCGGCGTTTTCAAACAATAAAAGACGCCCGTCCGGTTGCGGGACGGTGGGTTCAGAGCCCGCAGGAATCATGAACCTCAAGTCGTCGGAATGCAAAACTTTTACGAGAGTGGAATAAACGAAACTAAGCTACACTAAACTCCCCCCCTAGCGCTCCGAGCACCCGGACTCCACAAGCAAGAAACAGTTACATTTCAAACAACGCCCTAAGCCTCCCCATTCCCCGGGTGCCATCCCGGGGGATCCCAAACTCTTACCCGAACAAAAGCCGAGGCGAGGGCTACGCTTCCGACATCGCCGCCGTTTTCTCCCCCTCCTCCTTTCGCAGCCTCCCTAAAACGCACAGGCACACCGAGGCAGAATCGGAAAAGGAGGGAAGCGTCCTCTTCCCCCTTCGTAGCTTCATTCACCAAACTGCAAGGACCGATTAAAAAAAATAAACACGTTTGCAAATTATATATCTATTGCAAATATATATATATATTTTAAAAAGCCTCTTTAAAAAAACCAAAAAAAAAAAGCCACCCCAGGCCGAAGCCGCCCGCGGCGGCGATCCAAAGACCTCTCCGCTCGCCCCTTCCCCCAACGACTGACTCACCGCCGGTGCCAGGCTTTCCTTACCGGGATAAGCATTCCCCGCTCTTCAGAGAGCCACGCGGAAGAAGCGCAGGAGCGCGTGCTCCGCAGCAGGGAACTTCCCCCCCCCCTCCCTGCCTCCCCCGCCCCACCCCCCCTCCACCACGTTCCAAAGAAGCAGGGCCCGAACTCACCCCGGGCGAGGAGCCGCCAAAGGGGCTTGCAGCTCTACAGCTCAGCAGCGTTCTGGGTAGCGGGCTGGGGAGGGGGGGGCGGGGCTGGAAGACCCGGCGAAACCAGAGAGGCGTTACAGCCAGAGTGGCTCCCAGAGAAGGAAGTGGGTCTCCATAGTTACCATTCTAAGCCGAACAGTCCCCTTTCTCTCCCCCCCCCCGCCCTTCCCTTCAAAGAGGCGGGAAGGTGCTTTACTTCCTCTTTGCTGGGAAGATGCGAGTACCGGGGCCAGGTGTCTCTTCCTGCTCTGTTTTAAAGGACAAAAGGGGTTGCCACGCACGTATTGCATGGAGAGGGAGAGCGAGCGCTTGTTTTGCCTTGGATAGCTTTTAACCCTCAAAGGGCTCCAGCGCCTTTTATTTATTTTAAGTGGGAGTCAGGACAAAGGCAGTTTGTTAACCCTTACCCCCAATGCTTTGCTGTACCCCCCCCCCCAGTTTTTTTTGCTTAGTTTTGGATTTCACCTTTGTTGTCTCCCCCGTCCCTACCCCCACCCCGGTCAGGGCTGCTGAAATTAATGGGATCCGAGATCCAGCACATTCAGAGGCCAACAGGTGAGCTGATGTAGAATGATGTAGACTCAAGGTCCATCCCACCCCTGAAAGGACCTAATGGTAAAGACTGCAAGGACGACACCGTTAAAGCCAACCTCTTTAACACATTCTTTGGCTCAGTATTTGTAACAGCAATGGATCATGCCCAGTATTTCCTAGTCAAATCACAGACAACTACAATGATCTAATACATATCAATTTTACAGAAGACAATGTTGAAAAAGCACTATGCAATCTAAAACCATCTCTATCTATTGGACCAGATGGAATATGTGCCTACTTATTAAAAAAGCTACCCACTGCCATAGCCAAACCTCCAAGCATAAACTTTGAAAAATCTTTCAAAACCAGCTCCTTGCCATACCTATGGTCACAAGCCACGGTCATCCCCATCTTCAAAAAGGGAGACCCCAGCCTAGTTGAAAATTACAAACCAATTTCTTTATGCTGTGTCACCTGTAAAATATGGAATCAATTATTAACCAATCCATCATCCTCCACTTAGAAACAAACAACCTGCTCTCTAATAAGCAATTTGGTTTCAGAAAAAAACCATCCTGTAATCTGCAACTCTTTACACTGCAAAAACATGGACTACACAACTCGATCAGGGCAAAGCAATAGACACAATCTACATAGATTTCTGTAAAGCCTTTGATTCAGTGGTACACGACAAAGTACTCCTAAAACTAAAATCTTATGGTATCTCTGGACACCTGCATAACTGGATAGAAGCATTCTTATCAAACAGACAACAAATGGTCAAAATTGGGAACGTCCTATCAAATTCTGTACCTGTCAATAGTGGTGTCCCCCAAGGCAGTGTTCTAGGACCAACTCTCTTCATACTCTACATAAATGACGTCTGTGATCATATTAAGAGCAACTGCGTTCTTTTCGCTGCGGATGTAAAGCTATTCAACACCATTGACAATACTGCTACTCTTCAAAAAGCCCTTGACTATGTATCAGAATGGTCAAACAAATGGCAACTTCAAATCTCAACAAATAAATGCTCTACTTTACATATTAGCAAAAAAAATCAGAAAATAAAATACAGGCTGAATAGTCAAGACCTTGTTGATGATCCAAAGTCTGTCAAGGACCTTGGAGTACTCATCTCTAATGATCTAAGTCAGGGGTGGGCAAACTATGGCCCGCGGGCCACATCTGGCCCATTGGTCTTTTTAATCCGGCCCACCAAAGATTGGTACAGAATTAAGGTTTGATGTGAATGATTGAATGATTGCATTCATTTGATTTTCACTTGTAATGACAGACATTTTGACACCAGGTGATGCATTAGGCACAGTGACTTGATTTTGCGGAGATTTTGCAGTTTTTTATATGTATCGTATCTTGTGCTGACCCGGCCCGTCTGTCAAATTTTAAAAGTCAATGAGGCCCCCGAGCCAAAAAGTTTGCCCACCCCTGATCTAAGTGCTAGAGCCCTTTGTAACTACATAGCCAAAAAGGCATTAAGAGTTGTTAACCTAATTCTGCGTAGCTTTTTCTCAGGTAATATCACACTACTAACTAGAGCATACAAAACATTTGCTAGACCAATACTTGAATACAGCTCATCAGTCTGGAACCTGCATTACATATCTGATATTAATACAGTGGAGAAAGTCCAGAAATATTTCACAAGAGTTCTCCACTCCTCTACTCGTTGCAGAATATCTTACGCCACTAGACTTGAAATTTTAGACCGAGAAAATCTAGAACTACGACGCCTTCGGTCTGGTCTAAGTATAATACATAAAATCATACATTGCAATGTCCTACCTGTCAATGAATACTTCAGCTTCAACCATAACAATACAAGAGCACACAATAGATACAAACTCAAGGTAAACCGCACCAAACTTGATTGCAGGAAATACAACTTCAGCAACAGAGTGGTCAATGTCTGGAATACTCTGACTCTGTGGTTTCTTCCCCAAACCCCAAAAACTTTAACCTTAGACTGTCTACTATTGACGTCACCTCTTTCCTAAGAGGTCTACAGGGGGCGTGCATAAGTGCACCAATGTGCCTATTGTTTCTTTTTATTTTTCTTACATGTATCCATTTCATGTATTCATAAGTTTATACTTATATCTGTTATCTTATAATTGATATATATTTATATAAAATACAGGCAGTCCTCAACTATCGCAATTGAGCCCAGAATTTATGGCATCCGAGGGAGCAATCTGCTAAGCAAGTTTTGCCCCATTTTGCGATTTTTATCACCACATTGGTTAAAAGTGAATCACTGCCGTTCTTAAAATTAGTAACATGGTTGCTGAAATGAATCCGGTTTGCCTGTGGACTTTGCTCGTCAGAAGGGCGCCAAAGGGGATCCCATGACTTGGGGATCCTGCAACCGTCATAAATGTGAGACAGTGGTCAAGCATCCGAATGTAAATCACGTGACCACGGGGATGCTAACAACGCATAAGCGTGAAAAATGGTCAGAAGTCACCTTTTTTTAGTGCTGTTGTAGCTTGGAATGATCGCTAAATGAACTGTATAGGGTAAAGGGAGTAAAAGTAAAGGATTTTCTTGAATCCAGAATAATTTCTGATGATTATATGAGCATACAGGTGATATCTCAGCAAACAATGGTTGACATTGTTGCCTTTTCGTTGTTTTTTTTTTAATTTTCAGACTAGGCTACAGCTCTGAAATATCTTGGTGGTTTCTCATTCAGGTTTCAATCAGATTGTAGATAAGACCACACATAAGGTTTTTTTTTCAGGATCAGCTAATTGTTTCCATCTGAGTGGACAGTGAAAGTGAATCTGGATTCCACTTACAATTGTTATAAGTTAGCTAGCCACATAATACTGATGTTTGGGGAAACCAATGTACATATCTCTCCAATCTGTTCACAATGCACCACTGTGTATCTTGGAGAGTTTAGCCTGAGCCACAGCAAAAAAGCCCAGTGGTTTTCCATAGTAGTCTGAGCAAAGAGGCTTTTGCAGAACTTTTTGGTCCTGTGTCAGGTTAGACTGCAGAATTGCAAGCTAACTTACTCTTCGCTGCTAGCAGTTCGATCCTGACCTAACAAGGTTGACTCAGCCTTCCATCCTTCCGGGGTCAGTAAAATGAGGACCCAAATTGTTGGGGGTAAGATGCTGACTGTGTAAACCACTTGGAGAGGGCTATAGCACTATGAAATGGTATATAAGTCTCAGTGCTATTGCTATTTAAAATTCATTTAAAATGTATTAAAATAGAGAGAAATGACAATGAAATTAAGAGGTCCCTAAAGGAAAGACTTGCTAAATCCACAGTTAACACAGGCAGGTTTGTGAATACAAGATTGTTCCTTGAGTGTGGTCTCACATAGGAATGAGTCAGTGGGTAGAACTAAATGCCTCTGCCTCTTCAGGCCTTACTCAGCTGAAAATGTGACCATGAATATAAGTTTGTTTTCCTCTTGTCTCTATTTACTTTTGGAAGTGTCCCTCTAAGGTTGTGTCTTGGTTAAAAGATATAATTCTTATTTCTACTGAAGGAAGCATTTAAATCATATTAAATAAAAATTTCTCTTTATTGTGTATATTACAAGAATATAAAAGACTGTTTCCAGTTCCATCTCCATGAACGTAAAATATTTGATACCCAGCAGGGGAATAATCAGTAACACAACTTGACAACACTATAATTAAATCATTCCAAACTTAATGAGCTAGGACCTGACTGAATCATACAAAATAATTTACTCATAAAAGGAATGTTTTTACCCTTTCCTGCACATTTGAAATGCTTACTAAAGCAGACATTTTAAAGGAAAGCTCTAGAATCATACAGATAAGGTCCTACCTTCAAATCTGAAATCTCTTTAAACAGAGTGTGTCTTATTTTAATTAAATCCATATATCAGATCTCATTCCTTTTTCTTTTGGGGAAAAAGTGAATTACTTGTATAGAAAAGGATTAATCATTTTATTCTTTAAATGCCTAGATTTCAGAGGTAGACAGTGTCTTTAAAATCTTTTTTTTTTCTTTCAGTAGAGCTGAAAGGGGAGGAATAACTAATTGGGACAGAGAGAAGAGCTGGGATAGTTGATAGGTTAGACCTGTGGAATGTGAATTTGTTCCTAAATTTTTATGTAGAAAGTGATTGTGCATTATGTGACCAGAGAGAAAGTATCAAGATTATTTTGATAGTGACAAAATATAGAATATAGGTAGGAGGTGTTGGGTAGGCTGTTGCAGGAGAAGGCTAAAAATCTATTGCTGGTCTCCACCTCTGGTCCAGATGTCCCACTGCTGGGCCTAAGTGATGATTGTTGGGGACCCTAGACTCAAGTATGTGCAACATCAGGTATGTGCAATATGACTGCATTTATCCATGGTTTGACCATGGACAAGCAAACTGTGTGTTTAGGTGATGAAATCCCAATGTATCCTATAAAACATGTTCTCTGTTGCACAAGCCTTAGATACAAACTCAACAGTTCCAATGTTTTATATCCT